CTTTGGTCGCGCGTTTGCAGCGATTGATGCGCATGCTTTCAACTTGTCGATCGCGTCGAACGCGCGACCGAAGCGCTGCCGTCGCGAAGTCTGAACGCTGTCAGATGGAAGAATAATCGTGCTGCGGAACTTTTGCAAAACACGGCTCACATCCACAGCGACCGAATATGATCTTTCCCCCCCTCGTTGTGATTCTCACAACAGACGAAGTGCTCCGCTGAGGAAGGAATTTACTTAAACAAGGACTTAGTTAGAAGACCAAGGAACACTCCATAATGGTGGAAAGTAGTCTGCGACCGAATTTCTTATACAGAAGGGAAAAGGCTGGAGAAAAGCTCCTGTTGGCATACTCACCGTTCTCAACAATTGAACGAGATTGTGCCTGTTCTCGATTATTCTTTAGGAACGCACGAAAGACTTCTGCAGGAACTCGTATTTACACCTCTCCCACACCCTGTAATTTGAAATCGCAAAACAGGCAATCTATTTTATGCTGGGGTAATTTATTGCGGCTCAACCACACAAAGAGCCATCAGGTTCACACAAACAAAAAGAGGATGGAAAATTGATAGAGGCCGGGATTCGGTGTCTTCGATTACGGCAGTGCAGGGCAATTTTCGATGGCATCGTGGAGTGAGGCACGGTGGAGCCAGAAATACATTTATCAGTTTCGGATATCAATCCATTGAGCTACAGAATGAGTGGGGATGAGGTTCTATCCTTGCCAGCTACAGCCCGGAATGTGAAAATGCACAGTCGCTCCCTGATGAACTCCGACAACAGTGTTCGCAAAAATATGTGCCAGAAAGACGCTAAGAATTTTCACAGGTTGGATTCTGGCCAGTTGCACTCCTTATCCCGAAGACGGGGACATTTAGTATAGGATAGGTTACTCGTGGGATACTTCAATTTGAGACAACTCTCATCTTGTTCTGTGTTGGATAGAGACATGACCACAACTGTCTCAAAATGAAAATATCTCACCAAAAGCACAGCCACCGCCACGTTCAGTTGTAGTACGCAGCCACGCCTACCGCATCTCAGGGATAAGGACTATACCTCTCATGTTCCAAATTTCAAAACCAGCTAGTTCTCCTAGGATTTCCAGGGTTTCTGCGTTGATGGATTACCAATAACGTCCCCACATGACATATGGTCATTTATAACATGTCGAAAGTACAATATTTTGCAGGCTGCGCGTTTTTTTTTGGAAATTCGATTAAATCGAGGAACGGGCAATCCATCCACATAGGGATGTGTAGGTAAATTCATTGCACAACACCCAGACAAAAGGTCATGATGTTGCCATTTATTTGGAAGGGGGAGCATCCAATTACACTCCCGGGTTTTCATCGACAGTGGTATTCAAGTGAAATTTCGGGTGGCATGGAAAATTGGCTCGAACAGCTCAGTTCGGCAGCATCTTTTCTAGAATCGCTCCAGTCGCCTCACAAACGGCAGAGTCGCAGAGTCAAAAAGCTGGAGGATGGAAAGTCCGGTGGTAGCAAACCCTCCCCTGGAGGTGCGCCAAGAATTCTAGGCCTCAGGAGGGGATGAATGAGTCCATTTCGACTTGGTGGCCAATGGCACAGCGAGTTCCCGCATGGCTGGTAAAATGTAGCGATTGCTTTCGAGTGACGCTTAGGGGTCTCCTCCCAGTTAACGGAACCACGAGGTACGGGAAGTTATTGGTTCAGACGGGATTTGATCCAGTTGTTTCTAGGAATCCGTGCTCGATAAACAGCGCCGCTTTTATTGTTGCAGATGGTCTTTTCAATGAGCAAGAGGCCGGTTTTGAAAGACTAGTGTACAAGGCTGGTAGGCTTCCTTTCGTTTATTCATGCCTTCTTTTCTACAACTTTCTCTTCATTTTTGGCTGTGCTATTCACTGCTTTTCTTGAGTTTCAGCAATTTCTGTGGCGCACCCTTGATGTACATCAGTAAATAAAAATAAATAAATAAGTAAGCAAAACAACAAGAGAAAGTATGATGAACACTTAGCAGTAGTTCAGCATATGAATCCTAGAACTACTCACTAATACTGGCTTCAGTTCGGCTCTGCTCGAATGCGAAGAGGATTATTCAAAGTAAGTACTCTGAACGAGCAACTTTGTGTAGTTGTAACCAATTAGTTGGTTGGTTACTTTTGGTTTTCTATACAGTTTTACAAAATACGCGTGCTATACGCTTCATTGTCCGCCCGCGAAAAATACGGAGCGCAGCAGTGAAGGGCGTCCGAATGAAGATGTGGACGTGCCCGTGATGCCTTATATCAATCAAATGTCTGTGCGATTGTCAGTGAGCACTTGTCACTATCTCTGAGGCTAAGAAATTGAAAAAAAGTTTTTCCCCTAAATAGTAGGTAATTCCCCCATGAAGAGGTATGTGGTCACATGTCTGTTGGAGATTTCCCAACAGGTATTTGGTCTCTGGGAGAGGGCGACGTGGATTGGCTGAGTAAAAGCTTGTTTTGGTAAAGTTGTTTTTTCTTGTTTCTCGAACGTAATACACATGGAGGGAGAGGTATGTATTTTCCCTCCTGGTCTATAAGGTTGCTGATCTCCTAACTTTTCGTGATTTTTCTTGTTTCATTTGTACTATACACAGCCGCCTCCCCCTCGAAAGCGAACTTTTTGGGGAAAAGTAGGAAAATTTTCGGAAAATTCCGGAAAAACTTGTAGGAAATTCCGGAAAAACTGGTAGGAGTTAAAGAAAAATTTTAGAGAACGGTGGGAGAGGGCTTTATATTCCTCTCGGCTTCTCGCGTTCTCACATATGCCATTACGTCACCCCCCCCCCCGCTCGACAGCTCGCATGAGTGGCAAGCAAGGGTCGTGCCAACGCCCTAAAAAGAAAAAGGGCTTCGTATGGACTTGACGCAAACTCCCGCTAAGCAATCATGTGCCCTGGCTGGAAGTTTTAATAGTTATACAATAATAAATAAGCAACCACATTAAGAGAAAATGGAAGTCTTAATAAAAATGAATAGGCAACCTTAAATAAGTGATCTCCAAACTTGGGTAGCCAAAATAATAGCAGGCAAATAGTTGTTCTGATTGAGCCTTTCGAGATTTTAGCAGTTTATTCAGCTAACGATCATACTTTTTGACCGTGGGATAACTAGCAAAAAGGTCTAAACTGTTTGAATTTGAATAAAATTAAAACTTTGATTTAACTGCATTGTAAAGGAGACATATAATCAACGGCTCTATATAAAAAAAAAAGGATAAAGTCTTCGCCGTTGATCAATCCCTTTGTGGGATGCGGCACGCATTCTACTTCCATTCAGAATCGTAGTGGGTTATTGAATGCGATGTGCCTATACAATGACTTGCGGTGGCCAGCCGATGTACAAGGCTATATATAGTCGGCACAAATTTGCCTCGTTATGGGAAATGCGTAGGAATTGAAGCATGAGATCAAGTGCCTGGAGTGGCTCATACCGGGTTCAGTCCCTTCCAAGCCATGAGGCCCGCAATTCACTTTCATTGAAACGTTTCATTGAACCGGTAATAACCTTGGGGGAGAGACTGCACCACCTGTAATGCTTGTCGGTTTACCAAAATCCGCGTAAACTTGTACATGTGATACTTGGGCATGGTACATGCTAATACTGGTCAATCTTGTAAACAACATGTGAACATTGTTATCACCTGTCAAGCACCCTGTCAACTTCTGCCAAACTCACCAAAATAACTGGGTTAAATATTTGGAAGGGATGGAGTAACAGTATTACAATGGCGCTAGTACCACGTCACTATGGTTGACAGGAGTTTACGGGAGACGGGCAAGAAAATCGTAATTTGCCTCTCAGCCGCGCGCGGCGATGGGCGCGGCGCTTTTTCAAAAGCACGGTCCGTCGGCGATGAGGAGCTTATTTAGTGGTGTTGAAATGAGGAAGACAACTCGTCAAGTGACTTGTCGGTAAAGAAAAAAAATGCCAAAGGGAACTCGAAAACGTCCCTGATAGGACCACTCCAGTCTCAGATAATTGTGCGGGTCAAAGGCCGAAAGAGGAGGCGGAGTCACTGGAAAAAAGGGAGTATCACTGAGGGGCCTTTGCGACATGAATCCTTTACCTCACAAATTTCCGTCGCAAAACTGGCACAAGTTTGCCACACCGCGGACGCGCTAACCTCTCCCACAAGTCTTTTTGCATTTTCATATGTCATCGCGACGCGCTCTTCACTGTTGGCGCTGTGGATTCGAGCACCGCGATTTCACGTGGGCTACGAAACTAAAAATAGTTATAACGATTTTCGGTTCTAAGTTGCCTGCTGTCAGCAACTACGGCATGGAACCATCGTCATTCGCGGGGCGCGACGTCACACGCAACAATCATCGGAGCGGGGAATTACGATTCTCTTGTCACGTACCCCACACGCTGAAAAGGTGCGTTTACCCCCAAGGTTATTGGCACTTGAACACTGTGCTCGCAGTTTCGAGTCGTCCAGTCAAAGTGAATTGGGGGCAGGGCCAGCAAATTCTAGCTTGGTGGTTGCCTTGGAAAGTGAATTGTAGGTCTAGCAGATGTTCTGAGCGGTTGTCTTGGTTCTTCCAGTATAGACGCTTCCTATAAGTCGGCTTGGTGTCATAAGATCACCCAGAGTGAGACGTGAAATTCAGCCCATGGACCACGAAGACGAAAATAGCGCCTTATTTCACCATGATGACAGGAGAGCTAATTTCATGACAACTTTTATTTCTATGTACAACAACACAGTAGTGCCATCACTGGAACTGAAGTAAAAGTATACAATACCCAGAAGTGAAGGCAATAATTAATCGCCAGCAAAAACGCCCTAGATCTGCTACCTTCTCTGGTCTTTAGCTTATTTCCCCGAGAACAAATCACGCCCTACCCGGGAAACAAATCCTGGAATGTCTGTACAATATCCCATTGAACAACGGTCACGGCACAATCAGTTACACTATTTTTAGCTAAACATTCATCTAGCTCTTCAACCTGATGTCTAAAACGATCTACAGAGCGACCATCACTAGGAGATCCGCCTGAGAAATTCCTGAATTTTCCCTAATCGGGATCTGGTACGATTTGATCGGTATCGTACATTGGAAAAGGGATGGCGTCGTTGCACTGGAGGAGGTTCCGGGAGTGTAGGGGTACTTCGGAGCTCGTCCTTGTCATCGTCGTTCTCTTCTCTTGAGCTGGACGAGTTTTCCTCGGGCGCAGAATGTACACGCGAGTCCTGAAATGGATTCCTTTCACCCATGGGAAAGTTATCATTGATTCATTGAAAAAAAGATGAATCAAATGTGAAACGGTACAGTACGAAAAGCAATGACCTACCTTCTCTAAAGCTTCTAATCTCTCCCCAAGTGCTGGAACAAGCATTTTCGCAAGAGATGCTGTAGGATCGCTGTCAAGAGTGCTACGTACAGGATCGTTATTGATCAGCGATTCGCCGAATTTGAGTCTATGGAAGGTATCCAGAGCCTGAATAAGATTACATGTGTAGCGCTGCTCCTGCATCCAATGAACAGATTGCAAACCTCATCACAAGAAGCTGAGGATGAGCCGAGGCAAATCCGTTTCGCGGTCAGGAAGGCCTCCCTTGCCTCGGGACTCAGCTCACTTGGTTGCTCACTGTTCTTACTTTCGCTTTCGGTGAAGGACAGACCGCTTCGGGATTCCCCAGTCATCTGTAGATGAATTGAAGAAACACTGAGCCAGAAGTAGGAGAATAAGTAGGAGCTCTTCAAAGACTACAGTCCACGTTGATAGTGTGGGAGGAGACTCGGAAAGATCGTGCCCTGTCCATTGGCTCGCTCTCCCCCCTCTCAAAGAGGGAGAGGTGCCAACCATGAGAAAGGCTTAGCTTTCCGCCTATCCGATCAGAGTGGACTATGCCTCATAGTGAATGAAGCCGCTAAGCACTATATAAGATTCAAAAATCACCTGAAAATTAAGCGGTTTACCAGCAAATGGCAAGGGTAAGTTGATACCAGAAATTGTTTTTCGTCGATTCTCAGCATTTGCTGCCGCGCTCATCAGTTCGCTTGCCACCTGCATGGGATCAAGCTGAAATGAGCTCAAATAACTCCCGATGTGTACATGTATCCATATTCAGTATACATAGTTCTGCGCTCTTGGCGCCTGTGATTATCAAAAAACACACAGTCCACGCTAGTGGTGTGGGCGGAGCCAGGTCTGCAATTGCACGTTGCTCACTAGCATGCCCTTCCTGCATTCCAGAAACTAGGAAGAGGGCGAAGGGAGAAGACGCCAGTCAGTGAAGCACAATGACTAACTGTTTCCGCCCATGTAATTAGCATAGACTGAGTCTTTAATTAACACTGATTAAAACATTCGTCTCACAAGTAGTATCTTCCGGAAAAGAAACATTATTGGGAATCGTTTATATGCATTTTGAACTCACCGCTTCAAAGTCGGGAACCCTAAACTTCGACTGGAAAGTGTTGTCTGTATCACTGTAGTGAAAAATTCCTCTGGGATTGCTCGATGAATCCAATAGGGGAGGATCGCCTCCAGCTGAAATACCAAAGTTTATTTGAACCAAAATGTTACAACATAAAGTCTCACTACGGAACGGAACAGCCACATCATTTGGCCGCCCCACCTCCTTATGTGAATGGAGGGAGGAAGTATTGACAGCAACAAAAAGGCTTTTGTCAGGCTCTGCCAACATAATTAGTGTTAGATGTGTGAGCGGATATCCATACCTGAACGTCTTCCTTCCAACGGCGGTAAAGTATAGGGACTTTGACAACGAACAATGACTAAAAATTTATAGTGAAAATTTCCTAGAAAGGCAGAATTTTTAGAAACACTGACTTATCCGTGAACACAGTAGCGCAGTAATCAGACTGCTATAGAGCATTTACAGTACACAAGTCCCCATATCCTGTGCATAGGAGAGGTGTGCTTGGCCGTCTCCTCAAATGTTGC